TTTCATTGGTCGAACGAGAAATTCTTTTTATTATACAATCCCACGGCATACTAATATTCATGTATTTCAATGTGCATACAAACGAATGGATATAAAATGCCAAGAACGTAGGAATACTTATATGAAGGCCTAGGAAATATTAAAATATCGGTCGTTGTTTGCCGCCGTAACCTTCTTTGGATCCTCACTTGCAGTGTCCAATCCACCAGCATGCGCCTGCTCCTCGCCGTCACCGCGCCGATCGTCGCCCACGCCTGCACCATCATTGGCGCCGGCGCCAAGGCCACGGCCGACGGCTCGACGATCCTCGCCCACACCAACGACGCAGGCAGCAACCCGAACGACCTCCGGCTCGTGCGTGTACCGGCCATGACCTTTCCACCGATGGCGCAGCGGCCCGTGTACGAAGTGCTCCGCAATGGCACGCCGCGCTTCACGTCCGAGAGCCGTGGTCCTGGCTACGCGGTCCAGCCCAATCAGACGCTCTCGACGCCGCTCGGGCTCATTCCGCAAGTGCCATCTACATACGCGTACTGGGACCACGACTACGCGATGCAGAACGAAGTCCAGCTTAGCATTGCCGAGTCGACGTGCTCGTGCAAGACAGCCGGGTGGCCGTCGTCGCTGCCGTACGGCCACAACCTCTTTAGTATTGACGAGCTCTCCAAGGTTGCACTTGAGCGCTGCGACACGGCGGTTTGTGCGATCCAGACCATGGGCAAGCTTGCCGAAGAGTATGGCTTCTATGGCGAGTACAGCAACGACCCTGCGGCGCCCGAGTACGGCGGCAGCTGCGAAGCCCTCGGCATTGCCGACAAGTCGGGCGCGCTCTGGATCTTCCACGTGCTCACGGGCCGCGGCAACAGCAGCGCGATCTGGGCCGCCCAGCGCGTCGCCGACACGGACATTGTCGCAGTGCCCAACACGTTTGTCATTCGCGAGCTCAACTTGTCCGACCCGACGCGGTACTTGGCGTCATCGAACGTGGCCGACTTGGCGTACGAGATGGGCTGGGCAACGCGCGATGACACATTTGACTTTACGGCTGCGTACGGCTACGTCGCGCCGGGGTCAGCCAAGCCGCTCTATGGCGGCCGGCGTCTCTGGCGCATCTACGATCTTGTCGCGCCGTCGTTGCAGCTCGACGCAACGCTTGGGTTCCATGCGCGCGTCCAGACATACCCGTTCTCTGTCGTGCCGGACACGACCGTGACGCCCGAGACCATGATGCGCATCATGCAAGACCACTACGAAGGCACGCCATTCGACTTGACACAAGGGGTTGCGGCCGGTCCGTTTGGCGATCCGGTGCGGTATGCGACCGGCAAGGGCAACCTTACCTTGGGCAACTGGGAGCGCGCCATCTCGATGCACCGGACCACCCACAGCTTTGTGCTGCAGACGCGACGTCTGCCGAATCTAAGCGACGGCGTCGCGGGTCTTGCGTGGTACGCCCATGGCGAGCCCGCAAACGCCGTGTATTTTCCTATTGCGTGCGGCCAAAGCGAGCTACCGACTGTGTTTACGAGCGGCCAGCGCGGCACGTTCGACTCGACGTCGGCGTGGTGGGCCTTTCACTTTGTGTCCAACTGGGCCCACTTGCGCTACGACCGCATCCACCGGAGCATCGTGATTGAACGCAACGCGCTGCAGATGGCAGCGCGCGTCCTCCAGCTCCAAGTCGACGCGAGCTGCGACGGCAAGAAGGCGGCCGACGACTGCGCGGCGACTATATTCAACGACTTGATGACGCAAGGCGTCGCGCGCTGGTGGGAGTTTGCGTGGAAGCTCGTGAGCAAGTTCAACGACGGCTACATCATCGTCGGCAACACGATCGGCAGCGTGCACGTTGCCGGGTACCCCGTGGCGTGGCTTGCGACCACGGACTTTGTGACCTACCCGCAACGGTACTCGCCGCCGGCTGCGGTCGCGGCCGAAGAAGCCGCCGCCGCCGCTGTCTACGGGGACGGCCACGCCTCGCCGATGCCCATCATCGTGGCATCGGTGGCCGCCGAGTCGGCGTCGACGTGGCAGCAGCTTCCGCCCGGGTTTTTGATAGGCTTTGGCGTCGGGCTCGGGCTCGCAATCGTTGTCGGGACTGTCGTCGCCATGCTCGTGTCCAAGCGCCAGAAGAATGCGAAGACGCCAAGTGCCACCACCACGGTAGCAGCTACCTCTGCCGACGCCGCCACCGTGTAGCTGAGCGCGCTAAGATAGAGAACATGCATTCTGTGTATTTCGCATCGTAGCGCAGCATCGAGTTAGGCTGCGCAGGTGGGGAAGAGGGACGCGCAGTTTGTATCGCACGAGAGCGCCGGCAGCGCAAACGTCGACGGCGGCTGGGTCGTGACAGTCCACGACGTGAAGGTCAAGTTGTGCACAGTTGTTGCCGTCGTCTCGGTGAAGCGGCACGGAAGTCCATAGTCGTCGTAGCTCATGCAGTCGGTCACGGTGCCCGTCCTGCATTTCGCTGCGTTATACGACACTTGAGGATCGGTGACGTACGGAGGAGGGCAAAACTGATAGCAGAGACGACCATCGAGCTCGTCGAAGCCAGTGTACCGCAGTGCCGGCGACGCCGAGAGCCACGTCGGCGACAGCATACCGCAGCCTGGCGTCGTCGCGTCACAGAGGCGGCAGCACGCGCCGACTTGACTCGGGAAGTGCACGTACAAGCTCTCTTTTGTATAGTAGAGCGTGCACGCGTCCGTCGAGTTGGGCTGTGCACACTGGCAGAACGGGTCGGCCTGCGGCTACACACATCCAAGATCTGAGAGGCGCCTGGGTCGTAAAAGAGCGCACCGCGTCATGCTCGACGCGCCAGTTCTTGTCGCCGCTCGCCGCGTGGTAGTGGTAGAACCATGCGCCTGTCGAGTCGGGCACGTCGCTGCCGTCAAACGTCTACGGCACATCAACAAGCCATGCGGAGAGAAGAATACGCGACCTCGAGAAAGGTGGCGGCGACGTCGTTCGGGAAGGGCGGTGGCGGTGCCGGGGCGTCGTACGTGAGCGTGTCAATGTCGCTGCTGTCGCCGCTCGACGGGTGCCACGCGGCGTAGAGCCCGAGCGCGTCCAACAGGAGCCGAAACATCGACCAGCGAAAATATTTTGTGCCCGGTGATCGCAAGTGGATATGCTACACTTGGTGTTTGTATGCCACCCGATTGTTGAAGCGAGTCGTCGACTGCAGGTTGGCGCTCTTCCCACGACGTACTACGACAAGGTCCTTGTAGTACGAACACGACGCGAGTCAACGGTACTCTTATGTGTATCGATCTATGTACGGGTATCGACCGGTCCATGCCCTTGGCTTTGGATATACACTCGGTGGCAAGAACCTGGCGGCGACATTGCCGCATCACGATATATCATCCTGCAAGTCATCAAAGTGCAAACTCGGCGGCTTGTCCAGTTGGAGCAGTATTCCCTTTACTGACAGTTTACACGAGCGACTTAGCCGTGGCACTGGTTGAACTGACGCGGACATGGTTCCTTGCACGACGCCGGCAGGTCAAACACCGAGGCATCCGAGAGGTGCTTGGACCACGACGTGAACGTGAGGTTGTGGACCACCGTAAAGCTGGGCGAGAACGTGCTCGTTTCCGAGTACTGGCACGGTTTGCCATTCTCATCGTAGCTCATGCAGTCGGTAAAGACCGCGCTACAGTCCGACACCGTCATCAGCTCGTATGATCGAAAGGGCGGTCGTACCCCGGTGTGCAGTACTGAAAGCAACGTCTGCCGTCAATCTTGTCGGAGCCCGGCGTTCGCTGCGGCTGGTTGCCCGAGAGCCAATCGGGCTTGAGCGGCGAGCAGCCGTCGGCCGCCGAGCACAAGCTGCAGCACTCGCCCAAACTCGGGAAATGTACAAAGAGCGCCGACGGTTCAAAGAAGAGCTGGCACGTGTCCGTGACGCCGGGTTTCGCGCACTTGCAAAAGTTGTTGGCTTGCGGCTACACACTAGGACGTCAGAGCCGTCCTCGCCGCCAGTCGATGTACCGCGTTGTGGTCGGCCCGCCACTGATGCGGGCCGTTGGCCTCATATCGGTAGTACCATGCGCCGGTGGACGGCGCTGCGGGAAAGCCACTAAAGACCTAGCACGGCCATAAGCACTTGGCGAGGGATGGGCGAACCTCGGTAAAGTTGGCCTCGAACGTGGCCGGCCACGCCGGTGGCGCCGACGGCGGCGTGAACTCTTCGTAGCGTGCCGAGATGGTCTGCGCGAGAAGGTGGCCGGTCGTCGGCAGCACGTCCAAGAACGACGCGCCAAACGCAATGGCGTCCACGAGTGCCCCGAGCATTGCAATTCCACTTGTGTTTGCTGGAAAGTGCAATGTCGGTTTTTTATTAAACGCATATGGACCCATTTAACGCAGCAGGTTGAAGGCAAACGTCCGCTCACAGGGCCAGGTTGCGTGTTTGTGCCAGCGTCCTTGCCTTGGTTCGAGACAAACTTCACGCGTTGTTGGTACACGACGGTGGGTCCATCTGTGGGAAGCCTGGATTGTGCGATCGAGCGCCGAACACGGTGACGTCGACCGATCCCTGCGCGGTCATGGGTCAATATTGACCCATGGCGCGGTTCAGCCGATGACGTTATAAGGTCGTTTAAACGTTGTTTAACCTAGTTGAAGTTCCTGTCCACACGACGAGCGACAGCAGGACGCAACTGCACTCGATCGACCAAATCGCCACATCGCCA